CCAGTATTATAACCCCAAGCCCTCAGCCATCTATGATCTAACCCAGTCCAACACTCCAGCCTCGACTTTTGACATCCTGCCTCGCTTCTTGGACTCTGGCGACACTGGACTCATTGTCATTCCCCAGGCACGATGCTGTCTTTTGCTGCCTTGTTTTAGCTCAAGCCCTGTGTGCCTGGGATGGTTTTCCTGCTACACCTCACTGCCTTGCTTCTCCTGGGCTGTGCTTGGGAGCCCCCCAGCACCCTCCCCTAGGCGCTCATATCTTCTAAGTATTTCTGCCTCCCACATTAAGCCTTGAGCTCCTTAGGGCAGGAACTGTGTCTTGTTCTCCGTTTTCAGTGACAAATGGACATTCAGTCCATGTTTCTTGAAAGAATAGTCATTCTTCGTTGTATTTAGACTGCAGAGTTAGAATCCTGCCTATTCCTCTCTCTCTGGATGTGAGGTCTTGGGTATTTCACTGCCTGTGAGAACCTCTTTGCTCATTTATAAAATGCTAATAACTTTACTCCTTACACTCTGGGAATTCTTAGGGCCATCAAGTCAGATAGCAATGTTGTATAAAATTTATACTATTCCAGGGATCTGCAGCCTATAATGTGCTGCCTCTTTTTTGCACTGTCAAGAAGGTTTCTCATGTTTTTAAATGTGCAGATACCTTAAGAAATAGAGAGAAAAATGATATTTTTGACACTTGACAATGAACTGAAATGCAAGTTTCAGCATCTGTAAATCAAGTTTTGTTGGAATGAACATAGCAGTGCTCATTCATTTTCCAATTATCTGTAGCTGCTTTTGCATTTCAGTAACAAAGTTCAGTACTTTCGATAGAGATCCCAGGCCTGTAAGCCTAAAATATTTACGACCTGGCCTTTTACAGAAAAATCTTGCAGACTTCTGCACTATTCATACATAGAAAAATGTGTGTAATTCACACACATCTCTTCCTTGTGCCCACTGCAAACTGGTTGATGATTGAATTCTTTCTCAACTTCTAATTTCAGAGCTTCATTCTGCGCCTGGCAGAATGATTATTTAATGTTGGATTGAGCCACAAGGACTGAGATTTGGCTTTTGGAGAGGGTATTTCAGGAAGAATTTAGCAAACTTTGTGGAAGATGTGCAAGGGTAGATGGACACCTCTCTTTGTGAAATGCTTTATAACAGAGTTTCTTATCCTTGGCCTTATTGAAATTTTGGGTTAGGTATTTATGGTGGATCTTGACCTTATCTGAAGAGAGTTAACAGTATTCCTGGCCTCTGCCTGCTAGAAGCCAGTAGAATCACTCCTCTGAGTTGTATCACCTGAAAGTGTTTTCAGATATTGCCAGATGTCCCCCAGGGACAAAATCACCTCTGGTTGAGGACCACTACTACAGAACATTCAAGACTTAGTTATGAGTTTACTGCCTTTGTTTTTGCGGGGAGACAGGGTCTTGCTATGTATTTCAGGCTGGCCTTGAACTTGGGATGGCCTGGAACTCAGCGATTTTCCTGCCTCAACCTCCCAAGTGCTGGGATTACAGACATACATTATCATGCCTTGCTCCTAACTATGAGTTTAGTGAGATTCTAGAAACCCATGATTATCAGAGGCTCCAAGAGTGGACTTGGTTTCCCTGGGTAGATCTTGGATCTTGGTCACCAGCCCTGTGATTCCCTCATCTCTGTCCTAGTACCAGCACCATCCCTAGCCTGAAAAAATTAAATGGCATGAAGGAAACCTGTAGCATCTCCAATGTGGAGATGTCTTCATTTGAGTGCTTCTTGTTTGTTTGTTGAACATGTTAATTTTGTTATTTAGGACTGAAAGTTAGGGGGAATTAATAAATTAGGGAGAAATAAATTTCAATAATTCTATGGAGCATTAAAACACATTGTAGAATAATAACAGCATGTTATTTTGTGGATTCATTTTTGTCTTGGGAAAGAAAAATCTAGAGAAATCTTCAGCTGAGTAAAATGAGCATAAAAAGCCCAAAGTCATAAGGGCCTCCGTGGTTATTTATTATGAGTAGCCAGGATTTGTTAGAGATGTGCTTTACAACAGTGTTTCAGTAATTCTCATGGTCAACCAAGGAAGGTAGGTGCCCTTTCAGACCTGAGGAAGGTGAATACAGAAGGGCCAAGTAAGGGGCAGCGTGTTGATGACTGAAGTCCCTTTATTTGAAATAGGGAGATTGAACATCTGAAACCAGCATCTTCTTTGTTCCTGATGACTTCATGCTGCCTTAAATCCCCACTCCTATGGGTTTGGACCATGGATCCATTCTTGTTAATTTCCCTACCTCAGGGCAGATCAAGTGGGAAGCAAGACTGACTAGCCCAGAGGTGAAGAAAAGCTTCATTTTCCTCTGGTATTTAGACTTCATTGATGAATCGCTGAGGGCTTCCCAATGAACCTGCGCAATGTCCTAACCTGAATGCTTGAGTAGAAATGTGGCCCTTTTCACCCTGCACCTCCCATGCTTGCTTCTGGCCCCTTTGACTGCCCAGCTCGACCTGGCCCTGACCCTGACCCACCTCCCTTGGGGCTCTGAACTGGCCACAGCCTCACCTCTATTAGAAGCCTGGGCCAGAGGTGACAAGGTAGTCCTCTGACCTGTTAGCAGGACACAGACTTGTTTGTCCCTCTCATCTGGTGACCTGGGGCATTCCCTTTATTTGATTTAGTTATCTCAAAGCAAAAGCATCTCCTTTCTGAGTGTCCACTTGTATTTACAGGTACTGTGTCATGTTATCTCTGGTGTCTGAAATCTGATGTGAGTAGGAAGCCTCACTTCTTCTCACTTGGTTCCTAATAGTTTCTCTTTTTTATTGTGAAATATATAGGATACACAGGGCATAATGTTTGGGCTGAATACTTTCTCGTTTTTGTTTTGAAATACATAGAGCATACAATATAAGATACATAGGGAATAATGCAATTTTTATCCATGTGGTACACGAATCTTCACATTTTACCTTGTTGCTTTATATTCTTTTTGGAAGACATGAGTAAGCACATATAAATTTGAAGTCATTTGAAGTCATCTGTACAGTCCTTCCTGATGTGTTCCTATTTTTTCCTTCCCTCAGGTAGCTGCTCTAACTTCTTGGTACATTTTTATAGTCTTTCTACATTTTTATATGTCTGTAACATTACATTGCCATTTGTGTTTAAACTTTATGTAAATGTAATCATCAATCATGCTTTCTATTTATTTGTTTTTGGAAAAATTCATACTGCTGTGTGCTGTATCTTCAATTTGAATTTGGGATGTCACACAAATAGGTTTTTGAACTGACTAAAACTAATACTCATCCCTAGGTTGGTTTGTAATTGAATTTCTCTTTTTCTCTGACTTTTTGTTTGCTTAAGTTTTGTTGTGTTTTTGAGAGGTAGCCCTGAGGATACACAGAGTTCCAATTTTTCAGTTTTAATGTTGCTGGGTATTACTCTCCTTGGCTGTGTGCCCATGTATTATTCTATTCTCCTGTTGGTGGACACTTAGGCAGAGTCCAGTTCCTATTCTTAAAACCATGCTCCAGTAAATATTACTGCCCGAATCTTCCAGAGAAGGCAGGAGAACTTCTCAGGTCGGACCCTGCAATGTAGTATCCACCCACATTCTGTTCACTAAAATGTGCTAAATTCTCTCCCAAGGCAGCCTCTCATGCCAGTGTATGGAGGTGGGTTCTTCTGTATTTTTTAGTTTATACGATGCGTTCTTGCACTTTACAGAGTTAAAACTCTTCATGAATTTGATGGGTTTGAACCATTGTCTCTTTGGAGATTAAATACTCCTTATACTTTTCGGAGATTAAATACTCTGTGATATTTAATAGAGTTTAAATTTATTTTCTTACACATTTTCTCAGATTTGAAAACAACCATTTGCTATTAGTGTAGTATGGCTTTGGCCACATTAGGATTGGCAAAACTCGACATGCATAACCTGAGTATTGCTTTGATTATAAAGCTGCATTGTATTATTTCATCCAGATACCTGTTCTGAGTTCTCTCTGTTTCTGGGGCTTACCTTTCTTCTTTTCATCAATTTCTGGCTCTTCACACCAGTGTGGATTGCTCCTAGTGCCATCCGTGTGGCTACGGCAAGGGCTGCGGAGTAGGTTCTATGTATCCTTCCTTCCTTCTCCTGTATTTGAACCAACATCAGTGCATGGTTTTCTATAATTGATGCACACACTGCCAGAGCTCTGCTGAGGGATAATTGTCCTGTGATTGCGCCAGTACGGCCAGAAGCAGTAGTTAAAGTAGCTTAGAGGCTTAGTTCAATAGCATTTGGTAGGACTCACTTTTCAGCATGCAGGTGTTAACTGTATATGTAAAGACAGGGACACAAGTAATTGACTGTATATATGTGGCTAGATAAAAATGGTAAGAGTGGGCTGGGAATTTAGCTCAGCAGTTCGGTGGCCTGCCTTACAAGCGCAAGGACCTGAGTTTGATCCCCGGTACAAAAAAAAAAAAAAAAAAAAAAAAAAGGTAAGCGTATAAGAAAGGAACATAACTGTATTGATCCTTATTTAATATTTTAATATATCCCTGTCCTTCAAATAAGAAATAATATGTTTTGATGGGTTTGAATTGATATAAAATACATCCTGCAGTAAATACAATTTTTTTCTTAAGGGTATACTGAAACAAACAATAGATGCAATAAAAATCTGCATCCTTGAATGCATACATGTTATGAGAATTCTTGTTAGTAATGGTAGTGTGTGGTCCCAGAGGCTATTTGGCTTTCCCCCAACCCCACACCCGCTTAGTAGCTCTTCATTCACAATGGCCATTTTAATGGAAACGGTCAGTCCTTAGAAGAACCTGGAATGTGTATTATTTCGATTTTGCTGGACTAGACAAGTGGGATTTGTTTCTTCTAGTCCAGTTATCAAAAAGATTAACCCTTTGACCTCTACATTCTAACTGTAACCCTTCAGAAACAAAGGGGTTGTTTGTACAAGAAAGTGGAAAAACTGAGGCTTGATGCCAAATGGAATGTTTCTCAGCTGAAGGAGGTAGCAGTCATGGCACACTTTTTTATTTTCTTGTGTTGCAGGCGTCTGTAGAGGCTTCTGGCGAAATCGCATTATGCAAGACTGGATTTCCTGAAGATGTTTACAGTGCCGTCTTATCGAAGGATGTGCATGAAGGACAGCCTCTTCTCAATGGTACAATCTCAGAGATATATTTGTACATACCCTGGCCATGCTCTTGAAGCAAATTAGCCATTAAAAAAAGTCTTTAAGTCATTTCCACTGTATAGCAAGTATAAATTTTTCACAATTACTGTAATGAGACTGTAGGGACTTTATTTTAGGATTACAGAAGAGCTCATGTATCTCTTATGTACATAGTTTAGAATCCTCCTGATGTCTTGAAAATTTCCTATTTCTTTGTTTTTATATTTACAGAATGATCTTTACACAACTGCTTTTTAGTGCTTTTTCTGCATACATTTTACTTATTTTGAAGAATAACGTTCATCAGACGTGTAGTTCTAGTTGTTTTAAAAGTCATGGCAAACAACCATATAATATTTTCAATTTAAAATAGTTACCTATTATAATATCATCTTAGATAAAACATGTCAAAATTTAATTTTTATCTACATTATAATAAGTTTAACAAGTATTATCTCAGTGCAAGCTCATGAAATTTGTATTTTTGTTATGACATTGTTTAGAGAAATTACTAGATAGCTAATTTAGTGGTAGCTTATGTGAATTTCAGATATAGGTTCATTTTCCATGTAAATATAGATCAAGTTAATTATAGCTATCATGTGAAGACCTTGCCAGCCTGTGTAGATAACATCTGAGGTAAAACCTGAACATCAGAAGCAAAATGGAAAACCCTTTCCTTTAGTTCCAAAGAAGAGCAAATAAAATTTTAGTTAGTAGTATTTTCATGGACTTATTTATCATTATAGAGAATGTCATTGAAATGTGAAAGCAAGTAGAATTGATTAGTAAGATGTATTTAAATTTTAATTCCCTGCAAATCTTGCCTATCTCCGAGGCTGTTTTAGAGAGCTGCATTTAGAAAAGCTGTGTAACCTCAACTAATTAATTTACACAGAACTCTACCACATAGCCTTAATTGAAGTGTCTCCATAGCACTGACAAATCCTACTGGTGCAATACTTAAGAATACTGTAGGCAGGAGACTTTGAAATATAAATGGCCTCATAGCTACTGAAGTTCTTGGGTACAACTTACATGTTATTTAAAGTATGATTTTCTCACAAGTAAGCAATTTTTGTGAAGTTGATTTTTAATTTTCTTAAAGGCATCTTTGTGTCCCTGCCTCAGTACATGGTATTTTAATGACAGAATGAGTTAGTTTGTCTCAGCCCTGGGTTGCTATCTTATCTAGTGAGTAATGCTTGACATGATGGTGCTTTAATTCAAATCACACTGTGTAAATTTTGTTTGACTTGATGTGAAACTTGATGTTCTGCCTGCTGATCATTTTCTTTAAATCTGTATATTATTAGATGGACTCTCAGAACCTACCTGATATGCAGATGTTATTTGAATATGCAGAGTATATTGAAATAATTCTACAGAATAATTCAAACATAAACTATCAGTGGGATTTTTCTGTGTTTTGTAATATATTTCTGCAATTCATTTTAAATGCGTAATTCCTTTTCCTACAAGCTTATAATTTGCTGATTACAGGCAAATACATGGTTTCTCAGTAGAAACCATTGAGTTACGATTAATTACTTTGGCTTTCACATAGTTTTAAAAATGATAGCTTGTTTTCTAATCATTAGATAGTGCTTGTGCCTGTAGAAATTGGGCTTGGCTTCTTATCAGCATCTTGTTAGTATAACCTAGAAACAGATTTTTTGGCTGAAGTTGTAAATCTGGAAGAGTAAAAATATTTTTGGATATTTTTCCTCTAGCCAATCACTGAGAGAAGTTTGTATGACAGTCTGGTTCAATTTTCCACATGAAATACTATCATGATTTTTTTCCTGTATTATTCGCAGAAGACACAAGAGGATCACCAGCATCTTAAAGCTTAAAACATACAGTTTTAAAATACTGGCTAGTAGATAAACTTTCTTGAATGAAAGAGTATTTACTCAGGCCTTTGTGAAGTGTCGACATGCCTGTTTCCAAGAGTGCTGTCAGCAGTTTATACTTAAAATGATTTCTTTCTAGCTTTCACCTTTTTTACATTTTTGGCATCTCTATACACTAAAAAGCCAAACACTATGCCATAATTGTGGTTATGAGTTCTGTGTATTATAGTAAAGCTATACACCGTATGTACACTACAGCAGGTGAATCCATTGCTAAGTCAACCTGAGTTTTGCCATGGGTTAGCGACCTGTGGCCTTCAAAGAAGTAAGTAGTATTCCGCAAGGGTACATGATCGTTTTCTGGCACATTTGCTTCCTGCAATATTCAACCATATTAAGTTGATTTTAAAGACCTCCAAATAATTTCATGATGCTTTATTATTTTGCTGTTTTCCATCTAGTGAAAAACATTTCTCTGTTTAATCCTGTGGCATTTATGTGTTTGCCTTTTTTACTGTGCTTGTTGTTGTTTGTTTGTCTTGAGACAGGTTCTTGCTGTGTAGTCCAGCTTGGCCTCAACCTAGTGGCCATATTCCTGCCTCAGCCTCCTGAGTGCTAGGATTACAGGCATGTACCACCACACATAGCTACTCTATTTTTAAAATCATAAATAATAATTCATAAGCCTTGCTGTTTCCAGTAATTCCCCATTGTTCATGGTTGGGGAAAAGAGGGCACGAGTGACCAGTATGTATACTATGGTTGCACAGGTTACATCTGGTGCACTAGCCTTTGTGTGAAAGCTTAATATTTTGGTATATAGATGCCATGAAATGCTGATCATGTTTCGAACCAGCGACAAACAGTCTTTGTGAATGTGCTTGAAAAGGATTAAGCTTTAGATAAATGTGTAAGGTGGTAATAGTCATGTTAGGAAAACTATATTGTAGAAGTGTGGCCTTAATGGAGAGAACATTCCAGTCTCACAATTCCCCTTTTATTTTTTGCTGTCATGAATTTTATAGAACTAGCAAACCAAAAGAACTAGTTATATCCCTCCTGTTTCTCTTCTGTTGTTTTGTTTGTTTATGTGTTTGTTTTGTTTGCTTGTTTTCCAGTACCAGGGATCGAACTTAGGACCTTTTGCTTGTGAGGCAGGTGTGGTGCCACTGAGCTAAATCCCCAGCCCTATCTTCTGGTTTTTAACAGTATACTTTTTTTGGAAAAATCATAAAGAAGGCATTTTGTGATCAGCCTTTATGTGCCATGTTACATCAGGTGAATGTTTGCACTATTTGAAAATAGCCCAGAAGTTTTTTTAAAAATAGCTTAGGCCCTTGTTCTATTTTGTTAGCAAAACCTTGTTCTATTTTGCTCAACTCTGTCCCTGTTTTTCAACATACAGGTTGTTTCCAACTTTGCTCTCTTGTATATAGTGTTGCTCTGGAAATTATTTTTTGGAGAACTTTGATATTTTCTTTGGAAATTTGTGTTTGAAAGTAGAACTACTGGGTCAAAAGGAATATAGAGTTTGTGAGTTGGTATTTTTGTTTTTTGTTAGTGTATTTTGTAGGTATCTTCCTTACAGGACTAAAAGTACATTAGTTCTTTTCAATCTCTTCATCACCATGTAATGTCATAATGTTTTCTTATATTTCACTTTTTTATGCTATGGTATATAGGTATTTGCCTTTATAAGTTAGGATCAATTCTGTTATGTTTGGATAGTCATTTTTACCTTGCATTTTTCTATTCTGTTTTAAAAGCATTTATTGCCAACCCTCTCATTTTATAGACAAGCAAATTAGAGCTCTGAGAGATTATAGGGTTTCCCCATGATTATATAGCTCTTTAGACTGTTAGCTGCAGACCTGGAATTAGAACTCAGGCTTCCTGATGCCTAATCTAGTTCTGATGATGGCAATGATAAAAAAAGAAAAAACATTTTGGTAAAACACAGCGAAGGATGAATGCTGATGGGAGCTAGCCTAAATATCTGGATGTTTTGTGGCAAGTTTGTCTTAGAACTGTTGGTCTTCTGCTCCACTGAACACCATGACTTGTGTATTGTTACCTGTTTGGGGGACTGTAAGGTAAGTAACACCTCATATAATTAAAAATAGCTTTCAGTAATTTTCGCTGTTAGTATTTTGTGCATACCTAGTTGAAAGAAGAAAAATTGGGACTTTGGAAGATAATATTTAGACCTTAATATTTAACTTACACTCCACTGAGTTAGAAAACATCTCTGGTGATAGTACATCACTCGAACATGAAATAACTGCAATCATAGATTTGCATTCTGTCGATAGCAGTGTATCTGACACCGTGAAATAACAGTCACGTCTTGACACTAAGCAAGGATCCTGGGATGCTCTGAGTGTGGATGTCAAGAGTGATGTTCTGTTGCTTTGCAGTGGTGGTCTGCATGCTTAGTCATTTCACTAAGTGAACGCCTTCACGTCTGGTCAACATAAATAGCAAGCAGCAATTACCATGGGTATTTTCAGTAATTCATTCATACTTGCCACCCCTGGGCAGCACATGATGACTGTTTTCAACTAGATGGAATTGGATTTAGATTAGTTTGCTTACTGATTGAAAGTTCTCCGCATTAACATGGGAGCTGCGTATATTTTCAGATAACAGTACTAAAGTACTTTTATTAGTTTAGTAAGACTACGTTAACTATACAGATGACTTTAAAAGATGTGTGAAAACTATCTTGGAGTCTAGAAAGAGGCATCTACTAATCTGCTGCAAAACCATGGTTTTTTGTTGTTTTTAAAAGAAATTTTGTTGTGATTGAATGTGTGAATGTCCTAAAATATTTGGGAGGTAGGTTTATAAACATTGTATTTAGAAAGCCATACAGGCCCTTGTACTTTACTGATTTCCAATAGATGGTAGAAATCAGTCCGACATGCTGCAGTTGCTCTCTTGGGTATCGATGATGAACTCTAAGGAGAAACCAATAAAATACAGCCAGATACATTCTCAGAGGTGATCATTGTTAAAAAACATTCTCCTACAAGGTAGGTTTTTTGGCTTTATTTTGTTTTATTTTTAAAAGGACAACTACCTATAAAAGATGAATAAAAGAACCAGTAAGTTTATCCTAAATTTTGTTAT